GGGGAGGAGAAGTGACGTACATGCTGGGGAAACAATATGAGCAAAAGCAGAAAGAAGTGTGGTCAAAGTTTCTTCAGTCAACTTTCATTTTTTCATATTTCATATTTGTAGATTTGATTATCCAATATGTTTAGTGAGGCTAGGAATCATAGAATAGCATTTAATAAAAGAAGTACTTTGAGGGCCTCCCCTGGTGGCGCAGACAGTTGAGTGCAGCGCTGTGAAGCTGTCCCCAGCCTCTGCAGTGCTGGTTCGATCCTGGCCGGCCAGCGTGGGTCCCACATGGCGCAGCAGACCTCTCCTGTCTCACCCACTGCTCCCCTCAGAAGTGTATTTCATCAGTCTGCCTGTTCTGTTCCCCACTCAGTCTCTGATGAATCCTCTCACCCTCCCGCTCATCTGGCCTGTACCCCAGTTCTTGTATAAATAAATAACTAAATCTTTAAAAAAGAAGCAATTTGAACTTTTTAATGTTCTTCAACAAATCAATTCATGCCCAAACAATGCTGTAGATAACCTATTCCTGCCCTCAGTTTTCCCCTTTAAAACTGTAGGTTCCTCTGGAATTGTTTCAAGTTCATTCCTTCCCAAAGTGCTGGAATCCTGATTTCCATCTGTAGAATTCATCCATAGGAAACACCATGTTGTAGTGCATGTTTATTGTTTCCCTAAGGCTAATCTTTGATATTAGAATTCTTTAGAGATCCTTAGCCCTAATGATAACTCCCTAAATAACTCAAGATAGAGTACACAGTTCCTTCTGTTACCCTCAGTGTCCTTAGTCACTATTGCCTTGACTCTTAAACTACTTCAAATCTTCATATTTTCTATGAGACTAATAAGTTATTTAAAATATTTTAATAATAGCCTCTGTGTTGTTATGGTTTTATGGAGGGAATATATTTCCTTTCACTGATTCCTTGCTTAATACTACCTCTTCCTATGTCTTTATATTTTAATAATTATCGTTTAAAAATAATTCTCATTTGCATTTCTTATTCTTTCCTTTTTAAAAAACATACTGGATTTATTTTACATATGACAAGTCCACTATATAATATATTGGCAGTAGATAAATAAAATACAATTTACACATATTTATTTACTTGATTGAAGGCTTTATGGTACATAAAAAGTTTTGGATAGTTATTCTAGGCTTTGTCCATGCTGACTTCAGTTGTATTTGGGTTTTTTATGCCCCAGATTGCTCAGTTGCTGCTTAACATTACCATTAGTTTGATTTATTTCAGACTTAAGGTGTGTACTGTCATATAAAAATCTTGTTTTTGATTTCTTCTCTGGCAGTTCTTTCCTGGATTCTTTGCTTTGCATAATTATAGCCACAATGGAACCAGCATCCTAAAGTCACCAAGAAAAATCTTCCTACTCCAAAATCATATGAACTTTTAATCCTATCAGTTAACAAATGATGTCTAAGTGCAGCCACAACACATCCTAATGAACAATATAATAGCAAATCCCGTGCACAGGGAATGTTTTCAACATCTGAAATTTGTAAGAACTCAAAGGGCTACCAAATAACAAAACAAAGTAACAAAACCAAAAAACATGAAACATTCCCTTCCTTGGCTCACCTTACTCCTGCCTGGTAGCCATCGGGAATGAGTTCCACCTCCAACCCTGCCTTCTAACTCTTTTGTATTGGATCTTTACAAAAATCCTTTGAGTAGAAAGGACAGAGACTATTATCACCATATTGCAGATGAGGAAATGACATCAGAATGGAAAGTTGCTTTGTGCAATATCACAGTTAAAAAAAAAAATAGATACAGTACTAGATAGAACTACACTCCATCTAAGTATTATCAATCAGTTACACTCAAACTTGTCATTATTGGAGCTCCTACACGCCAGTATTTTGGGGAATGTAGAGTAGGGAAGTGGGGTTGACAATATACCTGACCCTAAAAATGCTGGACCAAGGTGACTGCATATAGTACCTCCTCTCAAATTATAAGTAAATTGAAGCTTTCTGGGGGAATTCTGACAACTTTAAAATTGTTGGTAAACTAGTCTGTTTTCTGTGATTCCCTAGCTCTTTGGATAATGTTCATTATTTATTGTAACAGTAGCCCAACTTAGAAAAAAAATCTCAAACAAGGCTTCACATACATAGGGGAATTTTTCCCAGGTGCTCTTAAAGAGAAAGGTAGCAATAGCCAGAGTGAGCAGATATTTTCTTGAAGAGCATTATAAAAAATGGAAAATAATCTCTTAAGAGTGATAAAAGTAGTTTTAAATATACTATTAATTGGCTCTCTTCTTCTCCCCATTCAACAGTCAACTGCCTCTTCTTACACTGTACTTGAGGCATGATAGTGAAGGCCTGAGTGAGTGGATTTGGCTGTATTGGGTGCCTGGTTATTACCAGGGCTTTAATTCTGGCAAAGTGGACATTGTTGCTATCAATGACCCCTTCATTGACCTCAGTTCCATGGTCTACATGTTCCTGTAGGATTCCATCCATGGCAAGTTCAATGGCACAGTCAATGCTAAGAAAGGGAAGTTTGTCACCAATCAAAAATTCATCTTCACCTTCCAGGAGTGAGATTACACCAACATCAAATGGGGCAACGCTCATTCTGAATATGTTGTCTTCACTACCTTGGAGAATATTGAGGTTCACTTGAAAGTTGCAACCAAAGGGCCATCATCTATGCCCCTTCTGCTGATGTCCCCATATATGTGATGGGAGTGACCCATGAGAAGTATGAGAACTCTTTCAAGATTGTTAGCAATGTTTCCTGAACATACAACTGCTTGGGTCCCCTGACCAATGCCATCCATGACAGCTCTGTCATCATGGAGGGACTCAAGACCATATAATCACTAATACCCAGAAGACGGTAGATGACCTGTCTGGAAAACTAGCATGATGACTGAGGGGTTGTCCAGAATATCATCCCCACTTCTTCTGGTGCCACCAAGACTGTGGGTAAGATCATACTTGAACTGAACAGGAATCTCATTGGCATGACCTCCCATGTTCCCACCCCCAATGTGTTAGTGGTGGATCAGACCTATCACCTGGATATATTTGCAAAATATGATGACATCAAGAAAGTTGTGCAACACGTATTACAGGACTCCCTCAAAAGTATCTGCATTATAGTGAGGATCAGGTTGTCTTCTGCAACTTTAGCATTGACACCTACTCCTCCACCTTTGATCCTAGGCCTGGCATTGCCCTCAATGACCACTTTGTCAAGCTTATCTCTTGGAACAACAAGGTGGTGGACCTAATGGTCCAAATGGCTTCAGTGAAATTATAAGAGATACAGAGAGGACCTCAGTAGCTGGAAGTACTTCCCACACTCATTCAGCTCAATCAAGATCTCCTGACTTTTCCCCTGTTCCATCCCAGAACCCCTGGAGAAGGGGAGGAGCTTGGGAATCCCTCCTTTGTCATGTACATCAATAAAGTATACTGTACCCCTAATGAATAAGCGAATATACTATTTCTTGGAACAAGTAATGATTTTGGAAATTTAATTATATGTATTGTATTATGTGCATGTATTTATATATGTATATACTTCTATATACATACATATTATAGTACATGTATATATACTACATACATAGTAAAGTGACAATATTTGTATTCAAAGAAAATTTAGGTGACATAAAATAGCTAGTTATGCCTTGGCTATACAAAACTCAAATATCTGGCAACCTCAGTTATCCAAACACAAATGGTAGGACCTTGAAGTTCGCAAAAGAGTCCTCAATAACAATAACCAAAATAAATGTCATAAAATTCATAACCTAAAAAGCATACACTTTAGATATTTTCCCTTTTCAACATATACCCTCTCCAAGTAAAATAAAATAAGCAGATTTTACTATTTTTGTTAAATGTAAATGGGTATATCTAACTTGATTAGTATGTTTTCAAAGCCACAAAGTATTAGAAAAAAGTAATTGAAATGATAGGGATGTCATTAGACAGGTCCAATGACAATGGCAAAAAGTAACAGAGCCTAAAAAGGTGAAGAAAGAAACACAAATACAATTAAATATATATGAACTAAAAATTAATAGAGCCATTTTAGTGTATGTACAGCAATGCTAGAGATACCCATAGCTCTGAAAGAAGCAAATATAAAAAGTACAATAACTGATGTTTATAATGACCCTCAGTAATCCTGAAAAGAAAACATTAAAATGCCAGAGCTAAGTTCTTTAAATAATAACAATACTAATACCAATAATAACAAACAAACATTAGTAAAGTGCTTTAGTGTCTAGAAAGCACTTTCCAAAAAGTATGCTTCATTTGAGATTATCTAGTCTATACCCCATTATGGACAGACAATAAAACTGGAACTGAGAGAAAAGTAACTTGTCCAAGTTTACACGGCTTATCAGGGATGCAACTGAATTAAGATCCTGGTTCTCTGAATGTGGGTTAATGCTTATTTTATACACTATATTCCCTTGTTTAAAGCAAACTGCTTAAGTGAACAGGAAAGAATTTAAATTCAGAAATATTTGTGCATAAAATGTACACATATTTTAAAATATGTGAGTACTTCAGGAGCTACCTGATCATTTCTACAGAAAACAGCAGTCTAAAATATACTTTCCCCTTGAGTCTATTTTTCTCAAGTAGTATATATTTTCTAAATAAATCTGGGATGATATTGTTCTCCTGTACATTTTTAAATATTTGGAAAGTTCACCTATGTCTACCTGTTTTCAATTTCAATTTTCTTTCTTGCAGGAGAGGGTGAGAATAGGTGTGCAAGTCATTCTGTTGCTCTTCACTTGCTATAAAGAAATACGTTTTCTCATATGTTCCATAGAATAATATGTTTTCACTTGGAGAGAAAATGTAGACATACACAATTCTTTCAGAAAGATCGTTTTGTGAATTACAGAAAGAGGTGATGTTTTCTTATGGTAGTCAAGAACACTAATTTTAAAGAGAAATCCCCAAGGGGACAAAGCTAAATTGATAGAGTATGTAGATTATTTTAGATAATTAATTGATTACATTGTCTTGGAATTATCCAAAAATTCGAGAGAGAGTTTGAAAATCATCTTTTCTGCGATGATTTTCTGAAGCATTATCTTTACATCTCACACATGATGGAAGAACGAAGCCATCATGTTTCGAAAATCTATCATGGAATTCTGAGGCCATAAAATAATATAGAACTAGATCAAGACAGCAGTTCAGACTTGCAAGACACAGGGAAATGATGTGGAAGCAAAGAGTGCTCTTAATTAAGGAACAGTTCAAAAAGACACCTTGCTTCATCATTATAAAGAATGGGAAGTTGAGGTGGTAAGGGGTAAAACATAATGAACACCACTGCACACATCAGGGCCATCCACAAAGGCTTTTTTCTCTTCTGAGTATTCTGAAAGGGACCTTGGAATTCCTGTACACATTTCCTTATTTTCCCTGTGCAATATGTGATAGTTACAGCAGATAATACAAATCCCCCAAGTTCAGCAACAGTTACCAGGCTAATAGCGGAAGACATGCTAATGTGTTGAAGCCCTAAATCAACAAAGCAGGATTCAGTGTTGTTGCATAATCCCAAACTTCTTAGAAATGGAAGTGGCAAACAGGCAGTCCCCACGATGACCCAGATGGCAGCACTGATTGCCACATCATACCTGCGTTTCCAGTCTCTGGCCTTGAAGGGTTTGAGGAGAAAAAAGCACCTCTGAAGGCTGATACACGTCAGGAAGCAAACGCTGGCGTACATGTTGAGATACTTCAGGTAGAAGCATAGCAGGTAAAGGGTCCTCTGGAAAGGCCAGTGGTGGGTGATGTAGTAGTAAATCCGGAGGGGTAAAGACAGCACGTGAACAAGGTCAGTCACAGAGAGGCTGATCATGAAAATAATGGCTTTATTTTTCTTGCTGATGAAGCGACACAGAACCCACAAGGCTGCACTGTTGGCCTGAAGTCCGGGGATGAAAGTGAGGATGTAGGTGGTTGCATAAAGAGTGTACTGGAATGGCATTTGAAGATCAGTGCACTTTGCTTTTGTACTGTTTGTGCTGTTAATTCTCATTTTGAGGATGTAGGTTACTTCCTTAAGGAAAACATCAGAGTAATGTTTTCTGCAGAAAATAAAGTAAAATTAGAGTCAAAGCATGCCAGTCCATATTTGGGTATACAAATATCTTTGTTTCCTACTAAGAAGTATTCAAGTATGAGCTTTCATAACTTCAACAGGTCTTTTCTATGAAAACTAAAAGAAATATCACGCCAATCTACAAATGGATGACAGTACTATAAAAGCTATTTACAGGAAACAAAAAGATCACTATTTTGGCAACAGTCTGTCAGATTTTCCCCTTAGTGGTCCGGAATAGACTTACAGGTATAACCAACAAGCAAACTGAGTTACCTGTCATCAACCCTGAGAGATAGAATCCTTTATATCAGTTTTCAATTTCAATGTTATCAAGGATTAGACGACTGCTGAGGTGAGTCTACGAACCTTTGGGAATGAAACATGTGGTAAGAGCCTGGGGTAGGGCTTGGGATAGGGGCTTGGACAGATGATGTAACCCAGATAACCACTGCTTCCTTCAGAATTTGACTAAGAGCAAAATTAGTCCTACTTATTATCATAGCACTTTCTAGAAGCTTCTGTAACTTTAAATGTCTCTTTACCAATAAAATCATGGTAGCTTAGACATTTACGTTTTGAGCTTATCCTTGCAACCATTTAAGCCTCTACCAGAATATGTGCAGTAGAGCTTATCTCACGAGAGATGCAGCAAAATGAGTTATCACTACTTCAGCTCTTAGGACAGAAAGAAATATTAATGTGGATGGTTACATTTTTAGCAATCATAATTGTGAGAAAGCCCTTGTGTCCAGTGAGTCAAAATCTCTATCCCTTCATTGCAATCTGGTTCTGTGTGCCCCCAGCCAAATAAAATAACATCTACTCTCTGTTACACATCAAACTCTTCTAATATCTGTAAATGGCAGTCCTGTTCTTTCTTAAAACTTCCTTTACACAGGTTAAATATTAACTCCTAATATGCTGTGGTCCTCACTCTCTGCCTTCTTTTGGATCAGAATAGTATGCTTTGGATGAACTTCTGCTTTTTGTGACATGGATGGATCTTGAGGTAATTTTGCTAAACAAAATAAATGGGGAAATGAAAGTTAATTACCAGGTGGTATCACTCATATGTGGAACATAAATAACCAAAGAAAACAAATTGGTAAAATGCAATAAAAATAACTCTTAGTCTGAGAAAAATATGGTGGTTACGAGAGACAAAGGATGTTGAGAACAAAGGGAAGAATGAATCAGTTTGATAGTGTAATAACATTAGAACTTTGATGGTAGGTGAAAGAAGCACATACACATGTCAAGGTATAAAGCTACACACCTGAAATCATATAGTTTCGTAAACAAATGGCAAATCAATGAAAGCGGCTTTTAAAAAAGAGAACAATTGAAAATATTGTAACTAGATATGTGCCAAAATGCTTTTTAAAGAGACAGTTAAAATGAAATAAATAATTAAATGTAGTGATGGTTTTTAAATAAAAAAGAATATGATTGCTTTTAGACAAAGCCACCAAAGTGCAATTTGTTTTACCCTTGATAATTACAGTTAAATTACCCCAAAAGTTTGATATTTTTATGAAATGTGGCTGATATATCACATTGTAGAAACAAAAGAGTAGCTGGCATTTTACTACTCCCTTGTACTTCTTATTTTTTGTAAAGACAGTTTGCTTTACATTTTATGTAATTTAAGGGAAAATGAGAGGCAATCTTAACACTAATGATTGAAAACATTATAAGATCTAAAACAGTACCTATTGACTATCAATTGAAAAGGGTAAAAATTCAATCAACCCATACATAGTTCATACAGTTCCAAACAACATATTTGATGTCTTTGTGCTGACTAGATGAAGTTCTCAGATAGACTGCATTTATTAACTGCTAGTTCATTGCAATCAAACAACCAACTGATTCAAGTAAACAACTACTTTGAATTTTTTTAGTGAGTTGACTATTTCACTGAATATACAAGTTAGTCTAGCAAACTATCTTTCCTTGATGCTTTCTTACTTGTCCACTGAACTAACTAAAATAATTGCACTTGTACTGTGTATACTTACTCAGTCTAAATTTAAAAATGTAAGTTTGAACCAGGATTATTCTTGAAATAAAATTAATGAAATAGTTAATATACATAAAGACTTCCCTGATCATTTTTGGTTTTGTTATAATAATAGTTAACAGTCATCGAATGCCTATTTTGGACAAGGTATATTTTATATACAATCTCATTCAATTCTTCATGACAATCTTATACAAAAATAAAACACTAGTAATGTAATGTAATTAGTAATAAAAAACAGAGACCCTAAGAAAGGCAAAGCTCACTTTCTCTAAGAAGACTTCCCTAACTTTTCCTAACAACAGGTCACTGCTACAACCCATAGTATGCATAATTTTGATCATTTTCTTTAGGGAGAGTTAACTTAACACACCTAGCATACTGTGGTGGCTTGCCTTTCCAAAAAGTCTATTTTGCTCTTAATAACAACTCAAAAACCCATTCTCTCACTTCTTCCTTTCCTCCATAATAAAGTATCTAATAAAGTGTTTTGGACACATTAAGAATGCACTAAATGTTTGTTGAGTGACTGAAATACATGATAAATAGATGAATGGGGGTGGGGGAATATCTCATTCAGAGGAAGGCAATGAGTATCAGGGGGATTATAATGCAACCGTGATATTTGACTTGACCACCAGGTGTCATAAGCATACCAACTTGCAAATATTTTTTTGATATTTAACACTTAATTTATTTTAAAATTGTATTAAGAAAAAAATCTATTAAGGGAAAAGGCATACTAAAGGAAGTATCAACAGCATCCTTCTAACATCATGAAGAATTAGGGAGTTTGAGTTTAATTTTTTTTCAGCCTCCATACTTCCTCCTAAAGTTCTCTGTAGTTTGGACTCTAACTGCGTATATTGGTGGTATATCATAACTATTAAAGGCCACCATGCTCTTCTGCTCCTGCCACATTTTATATATGAAGAAACCAGGCTAAAACCAGAGGACTAAACTTTTTTAAATTCACACAGGAAATTAGTTGCAAAGGATGAATCAAGATCTCTTGCTTCTTACGGCAGAGCATTTTTTCACTTTTCCGGGAACTTCTAAGAAGACAATGGGTGTTTTCAGCGCAGGCATGGTGCTATAATACTCTTATGAAGAGGTGTGAACCTGTGTCCCCAAATCATATACAATGTTGTAAACCCTGTTAGCCCAAAAATAAGTAAATTTTTTTAAAGGAAGGAAAAAATGCTTTTGTAATTTAATAATAATAGAAACTTTCAGAGACAAACCAGTGCCAGATTTTAGAACATACTCTTGAGAATGAACTGTTATAGCAAGAAGGATTAGTTCTTTCCAAATATTCTAGTACAGATACAGTGTTTTTAAAAAAGCAGAATAAGTATTTCTATTCTCTAATGATACGATTGTGCTTAAAATCTCAGGTTAGATTGTTTTCAAACTTACATTATTTCTTCACATAAAGAATAGAGTTTCACATTATGAAATACAGATAAGCAAAAGTAAACCATAAAAAATACATATCTATAACCAATATTTCCATTGTTAACATTTTGTTGTTTAGCCTTTTTTTCTATGTGGATAGACCTATAAATGAATACATGTACATGTATTTTAACCAAAGTTGACTCAAATATGTATGTTTTCTTATAATTATGGTTTGTATTAATCATAGTTATTATATAGTCTCTTATCAAAAAATAGATAACTAAATAATCATTTCAAAAATACTTAGAATTCCATCAGGATTATTTACCACAATTTATTTAATGAGCAGACATTGAATCAGATTCCCATTTTTTTAGTATAAGAACAATACCTTGATAAACATTCTTGTATATCCATCTTGTATGCTCACTTCAGCAACTATTTTCTTTGAACAAATTCTTAAAAATGAATTGTTAGGCTTTTGATGTGATGCCAAATTATCCTACAGGAAAGCATTCTAATGTGAAATTCTGAAGTTAATATTCTTTCCCATAACATCATGATATCAAATCTCTTTCCAAGTATATAAAATTATTTTTAGCTAGAGGAAGAAGTATGGTATAGATAATTCTGTCTTGTTTGTTAAGGCCTACCTCAAAGTAACTTCCTCTTCCTAGTCACAAATCACCGCAGACAAAAATTATTATCCCCACTTTAACACATGATTCTCAAACTCCAATTTGTCTCAGAATCATCTGGAGGGCTGCCCCATACACAGTTTCTGATTGGCAGCACCCCCAAATTTACATTTCCAATAAGTTCCCATATGATCCAGTGATCACACGTTGAAAGACACTGTGCTAACACAATGTTTATACCAACAAAGATTGCTTTTCTGAGAAGCCAGTATATTTTCTCCTCAGGAATATTATGAATCATTTAATTAATGCTACAGACAGAATGCTCAAATGTTTATTTGCTTCCCAAATCCACAGGCCAAAATCTATTACCCAATCTAATGGTATTTGGAGGTGAAGACTTTTGGGGAGTAACTAGGTTATTAGGGGATTAGTTCTCTTATAAGGGAGATTTCACATCCCTTGTTCCTTCTACCATTGAGTAGATCCTCTATGATCTAGGAAGTGATTCTCACTAGACACAGAAAAAGTCACTAGAAAAAAAGACACAGGGGAAAAAAGACACTAGGAAAAAAAAAGACACAGAAAAAGTCACTAGACACAGAAAAAGTCACAGAAAAGCTATGGCTTAACTTTCATAACTGTATAGTATAACCTAGACTATCTACATTCTATTATTTCTTCTTTCTTGACCAGGTAGGAGAAAAAATGTTCGTAAAACAAAACCAAAGCAATGACAAAAAAATAAATTGCATTGTGTAGAGAAATCAATCAGGATTCTATGTTTTTAAAGAATCTTCTGAAGCTGTCCTAATCCTACAATTAAAAAGTTGAGCTTTTAATAGATTTGTTTTTACAATGGATCTTTGAGA